TAACTATCGATTGTGAAAAATATTACACGCAAAAATTGTTCGTGAAATGTTTTTGCGTGTAACTGGATTCGTCCTGCAATGCTGCATGTCCATACGTAGTGGTTGTGCGTAATGGGTTTTTATTATTTTTAACTGAATGCAAGAGGTGATAAATGGACGAAGCCAAACACAGCAAATAAATAAAGTGCAATGTAAACAAAAGCATTTTTATACAAATACATGGCAGCGCAATAGATCACACGCTTTCAAAGATAGAAGCGTTGGGAATGGAGAGAGGGGAAGGGGCAGTGGTTGGGGAAGTGGTTGCGAGGGGAAGGGAAGGAAGAGGCAATGGCAGGGGAAGGGGCAGTGGCAGGGGATGGGGGTGCGAGGGAAGGGGCAGAGACAAGGGAATGGGAAGGAAGTGGGAGGGCATCGGTAGGGGCAGGGAAAGGGGAAGGAGGTCACAGAAGGGTGGGAGTGAGGTAGAGGTCCTGGGAGGGTGCCGATCTGTCTCCGAAACCAAGGAAATATTGATCACATTTTGAGTCCTTTCACATTAATCTTAAAAGTTAATGAAAATGTTTCGTGCGACTTCAGGATCCCGTACGAAAAGTTTAATTGGCAATTTTTTTTAAATCTAACTTAGGTTTCATATGCTGTTGATCTTTGGTTATAGAAATTCCGCATAAGGTGAAGATGAACTATTTGCAGAATCATTTGTCATGAGATCTCATCTTTTTTAAATGGTACATAAATCCAACATCATTAATAATCATGAAGAAAGAGTCAGACGAGTCTCTATATATATATATATATATATTATATATATATATATATATATATATATATATATATATATATATATATATATATAATATAAATAATATATATAATATAATATATATAAACTTTTATGAAATATAAATAATGGTAATCAATAACATAGGAAACTGTTCTATTCCCCCCTGATATATCAGTGTAAAAACTACTATATTTGTTCTCAGAAGATAGCAGACACTTAATTAAATATTCTACGTTTATCAGGCAGTAAATAGAAAAGCCCAACTGGTAAATTTGTTTATTTTCAGCACCAAAGACGATGGTAAATCAAATGGGTTATCTGCATAATATTATGCAGGTTCTTTAACAAAACAATGAAAAGATTTTTTCTCTAAACAATAGCAATTTCTATTTATGACACGGATCTCATTCATTAAACATTCCACAAAATAGTCTTACATATTTACCCTTTACGTTAAAGACAAAAATCCTACTCATTTGAAAACGATATAGAACACTAGTACAATAGTATAAATGTGATAGTATACATAGGCAAAAGAAAACTTCTCGAAAAAAAAGATACAAAATGAAAACAATGTTAACTGACAAAGGCATTTCTATTTACAACAAAATTATAGCCCCTATATATAAGCCTAAGTAATCCTGTGGATAGAGATACAAGAATGTGTTCAGACATCCTGATATTAACATTATTCATTATTCAGGTACGCAGATGCATGCAGAGTATAATACTGGAATGAAAATGAGTGACAGTCATACAAAACAAGAGAAGCCTTCGAAGAAATGTTAGACCGCATGTTATACATTGTGCAATCTAACTCAAATGAAACGAGTATATCTTATCATAAAATTAAAATAATTCAAGCTGAAATCTGTTGGATTTGATCTCGATACCACTGACCCATCACTCTGTTGACTGTATATGGCACATTAAAGCTTAAAAGAGTATGATTTTGAATCGAATCTGCGTCGATCCCCAACCAAAATTCCGAGGAACGCGAAAAACTTGGCTTAGGTATTTGGGATAAAATCCCAACGAAAATAAAACATTTCCAAGACGTAAAAACGGGTTCGAGGAATCTCGAATGTCACTGTCGCGGTGCCATTTTCAACAGTCTCCGGAGTCCTTGGGAAGCCCACCTGGTCCTTGGATTCAGAAATCTAGTGTCTTGCCGATTCAGGGAGCGGTGGCCTAGACGAGAGGGTTTCTCGATTCACGGATGCAGGGTCCAATCCTCTCAACTGATTCCGTGAACACCTGATTCGTCGTTTCAGGGTTTCAGACTTAGGCTGCTTCGCTGCCTCGCCTTAGAGCACCGGCGCCTTGCTCACTCGCCGGGACTGTCGCCTGGGGGTCGCCAGGGAGGACACTGGAACAGACAAATAATTCGCCATCAAATATATGCCAATGTATCTTTTAATATTCTACAAACAAAAAAACGTACACATGCACAAACGTAAACACAAATCCACGCTATATATTCACGTAGTGCTAAAAGTATATAAACGGTATATCAGTCTACACTGACCCGGCTTAAATCCGAGTAAACATTCTACATTAAAATTGTCTCTCTCTCTCATTCTTTGACTCGCTTTCTCAATCAATCACTTTCTCTCTATTTTTCAGTCTGTCTATGTAAGTATGTCTCTCCCTCTCTGTCTATGTACGTCTGTCTGTATAAGCATCTCTCTTTCTCTGTCTATGTCTGTCTGGCTA